GACCATGGACATGCGCGATTAGGAGAACCTCCCAATTTCGACGCAACACCTAGAGTATTGAGAGCCTGTTTTGGTGGGACTTTTTTGTTATCCTGTATCTTTCTTACGTTGCCAGATTACCGGAACTGTCTTTGTTTGGCTTGCTGCTTTTTCCACCATTTTCCTTTTCAACCAGGAGAGGTTGTTGTTAATCTCCGAACCCTGAACATGCTCAGAAGGTCCTTGCACTTGTTCAGAGTGCATCTTTTGGAATTTGCACGCGCCGGTAGCCTCCCGCTTTCCGTTTTTACTAAGCTGGTTCGCAGATGCATGTGCGGTGGACACTGCATTTCATGTAATCCAGGGGCTGTGATCAGCGCGTGTTCCAGCAAACCCCCGTCCTTTCCTCAAATTGCGCAAAGGGTTCTCTTGGGGTCATTTCCTACTTCGGCCTGCAAGTCGGATTGGGCTACCTCAGTCCACAATTGCCAAGGCAGCAACATCATCAGAAACCTCCATCTTACCCCGCCTCTTTCGGCAAGCCTGCAAACCATGGACCAGGCCTGCCTCTTCGCTTGATCCGATTTCGCCCTCGACCCTCCGCGCTACGCATTCCGAGCGAGGGCGATGCGCGGTTTGATCCAGTCCAGAAACCAGTGGCCTGTGAGTCTCGAGAATTCGCGGCTCATGTCTAAGGCTTCCCTAAAAAACACCCAGAGGTGGGGAGCCACTTGGTGAAATCTTAGAATCTGGTGGTTTGCGAGAGCTTTGTTAGGAAGGAATGAGAAGTGATAAGCAAGTATGGTGTGTCGTGATATGATGTTTGCGATTGCTATCAGGAGCGTGACACCACGTGTTGGTCGCTTTGACATTAGACATGCGTATTGCCAGTGCATGCACATGCACGGATGCTCACGGCACATGCGAGGTGATTCCGACAGTGTTCCAGAACTTGTGCATCATCAGCTGCTCCACCACCTTCCTTTGCGCGCCCTTGCACAACACTGTGAAGGCCTGAATCGAACTTGGGAAATTCGAAAAGCCTCAGTCAAAAGTTCAGTAGCTGTCGGCGTTTGTGTCTCGTGGGGGCCTTGTCACGCAACATGTGCGTGCAAAAGTGACTTGCGCTTCTGAGGGATGGATGCTGCCATTTTGGGGTTGCTTTAGTTCAGCCGCCGAAATCGATCCCAAGAATTGATGGTTTGTGTGTGTTTTGTAAGTTTAGCATGTATAGATTTACATAGACGGCCAGCACCTGGCCTTGCATCCTAACCTGAAGTAAGCCAGTCTGGAAACCACATGTTGGAATTGCATGGAGTTGTTTCAGCCCTTTTGGCCTTGTGTGGGGAATGTAGCATGCATACCGTGTTGTGGTGGTTCAAGGTCATATTGTTTTCCATCATGTCTTTAGCTCGGTGACGGTTGTCCTCGGTGTGCTCGACAGTCACCTAGTCTTTTAGGTCTCATATGTATACACATGTATATATAGGGCTGTTTGAAAGGGTTTTTGCCCGTTGAATGGGGAGCATGAGGGAACTCACCATACTTTCCACAAACAAACTCAGGGACGAGCCCTCATTTTGCCAAGGAGAATGGGAATTTGGCCATGCCTCGTTTCAAAATGACACCAACCTGCAACCAGGCTTCTTTTTTTTAACCCCTACAAGGAGGCTTTTTTTTAACCTAGGACAAGGATCCTTCCATGTCGTTCTGGCGCGGATCGTGGTTCTTGTAGGTGTTTCTTTGCTTAAAAAAATGACTTTGGGGCAATGAACCTAGAGATCGTTGGACATGGCTCCATGTTCCCCATCCTCTCCTGGAATTTGGATTTCGTTGGTGGGACACCAAGGAGGTGTCCCTGGAATGTCGTGAGCTGCGAGCGTAGTGACGGGTTCGGCGGTTCGGCAAGCGAATGCCGAGTTGATTGGCTTCAGGCATTCGATTCCACGACTCGCATTCTATGCCCTGCGCAAGTTCTTTCCAACATTTGGGCCCAATGGGGGATTGTCCTTGCTCCCTTGATACAATTTGGGCTCAGCTAATTCCCCGTAGCTTCAGTCCAGAAAAACCAGCTATCGTGAATTCTACAGTCGCCCAAGCCCTTCTTTTGTTGGGTGTGAACTTCCGGGATTCTATAATTCCTGAGCGCCAACATCCCCATAGGGATGCTTTCCAAAATTCCACACGGGGAAACCTCTTGAACTGGGGAGCCATTTCAAGACCATCCTCTTCCAAAGCCCCCCCTACCTTTTTGGTAGGGTGCCTCCTCGCCTTGTTTTGGTCTCTGGGTCTCTCCTTGTTTTGGACCCCCAAAATTTCCCTCGCATCGCATCGCAGCGCAGGGGGCGGTGTCCCAAGCGGAAGCGCAGGGCTGGATTTCTAACTCCAGCGAGACCTGGTTGGCTGGACATAGCCTCGGGGCCACCTGCGCCAACACCCTCTTCCAGGCGCGACCGCTTCTTTTCGGGTTTCGGTTTTTGGTTTCTTTTTCTTTTTAGGTTTCGTTTTTATGTTTTCCCCCCCTTTGTTTTCCGGTTTCGTTTTTTTGTTCTTCTTCTTTTATTGTGTGTTTTTTGCTTCTTCTTGGGTTTCGGTTTCGCCCATGAGATCGGAAGCGGTGGAATGAAGATCTGAGGCCCGGGAGTGTTTCTTCGTTCTTCTTTCGCATTTCAGCTAGCGGACTCGGCTTTGAATTTGTGAGCCAACCCTTGACGATGGAATTTGTGCGTTGCAACTGGTTGAGGTTGGATCTCCGAATTCTGTGCGAGTTATTTCTTGGTTTGTACTTCGGGGCCCCTTTTTCAAAAAAGGGTCGTGGAGACTCCAGGAAACCAGTGGGGTGGGTTTGGGGGGGAGTGTGCCTTTAAAACCAGCTGCTGAACCTGTTGAGCGCCTTCGAGCTTGCCATTTTCTGATGAAGCGCTTAAGCTAAGCGGCCAGATGTCGTTGAGACGTGGTGCCCCATGCGCCGAATCGCATAGTCAAATCTTCACTCAGGCGGGGCTTTCGGAAAAAAAACTTCCGCCTCGAGTTGTCCGAGACCCCAAACGTGGCGGTCGCCCAAACGTGCGGGCCAATGCGGGTGAACTTGTAGGCATGTTCATCCAAATGCCACCCCGTTTGTGCATCGTTTCTCTATGGGTAAATCTGCGAGGTACCAGCAGATCAGAGTACTGTTTATACCGGCAGATGTTGGCCAGCGTCGCTGCTGCCACGGATGCTACGCATAATCAATGCCGAGCGAAAAGCTGCGTAGGAGCCTCCATCAGCATCTAAATCAGCCGTTCAACCTCTGACTTCCCAGTTCTCACTTCCTGAGTTCCTGGACTTACTATGTTTAGTGAAACTCACAAAGTTTGGACTGTTTTTGTCCCATCTACTCAGGAAGTGAGAGTTTGGTGAAATCGACCCAAAATATTCCCCAGACTTGTTTGGGCAAGTGAGCCCTCGATGCTTGCCACTTCGAGCAGATATGCCAACCAGGGAAGACGATAGTGTCGAAGAAGCGCCTGGAAGGTAATTAGATTGGTGCGTGTCAACATGGGGGACCTTAAAATGCTGGTTGTTGGTTTGGCCTCCCTTTAAATCAATCTTAGGCAGTGGTACCCTAAAAACAAGAAGCTTATATTTAGGCAGTACCCTAAAAACAACCAGCTGAAATTTCGCAAAATGAGCTTACTAGGTGCAACTGCCAAGCACGGGCAAACTTCGATCGCTTAGCTGAGATGATTCCTGGAAATCCTGCTGCCTTGGGCTGATTTCCAGTGCATCGGTGACTAGATGCCAATGAGGGGAAGAAGCCCAACCCCAGCGGGAAGCGGATTCGGCTCAGAGCGGTTCTAAAAAATCGGGGTCCCCTTTTGTTTGCCCCCTTTTGCCTGGCAAGGAAATCCAACAGGAAAAGACAAAACCATTTCGAAGGGTTTAGAGGAAATTCCATGGAATGCCCACAGCTCATTGGTTGCACCTTGCGCCTGTGCAAAGGCCTACAGTTCAGCTTACTCTGGCCTCATCGTCATGGGTGGCTACGTGGATGAGACGGGAGCGAACCGTTCTGGCGGGAAGGTGGATTTTCAGCCGCTTCTCGTGAACAGAAGCCGGTCAAATACTGTGTCTTGCGGGTATGTGTGAAGCATTTTGAAACCACCGCAGTTTCACAGCCGCGCACGGATGCGTGGACGGTCAGGCGTCAGGGTCGATTTAGTCCATCAGGCAGTTGTGGTTCCTTGACAAAATGGTGCGACCACTTATTTCTTGTTTTAAGCAGTCTGATAGACCCGGTGGAATCATTTAGAGACTTTATGTCCACCACTTTTCAGGTGGTTCCCAATCTATGGCCAGACACCACCCACCGGAGACCCGCTCGTTCTGGTAGCTTATTGCGACACAAGACTGTTCTTGTAAAATAATGTGTTTGAGCCATTCTTTGCCGTTCGATGCTTCAAAAATCGCGCGGTCATTCCAAACACGTTCAGAGCAAGGCGAGCAATCGCCATTCTTGTTCATGTACTCGTTTGCGGATTATTGTGCTCGTTTTGTACCAATCATTTTGAAGGAGAAAACATAATATACAACAGCTGCTCAAAATGTGTATGGTCTGGCCGTTTTGTTGCAAAGGGTATGACCATGAAAGTGCCTCAGCAAGACACAGACGTGCGTTACGGGGAAGCTCCAGTGCGAAAGACTCTTGACAATATCAACAAATACCTTAAGGAAGTGGTTTTGCAACCCCCTGTGAACGTTCCTGTTTAAAGGGAGCCCTTATATTGTGTTGGCAGACTATCATCCAGCCAGCTTCACCCTCAGTCGGATGTGATTTTGGTAGATGCAAATGTAGGAAAGAGCAGTTTTCGGAGCATGTTACTTCCCACGGTTTGTTAATCCTTGCATGCCAACTACTGCGAAGAGAGATTCTGCGTGTGTCGTGATTGCAAATGTGTTGTTTTGATGGAGCGCTTTTAGCCCCTCTGATTGCTTGGGGTCAATGTACAACTTTCAAATTGTCGGGTTGCCGGAGAATCTCCAACTCGGGTTACCTTTGGGTCAACGCTTATTATTTTCTGAGATTCTCCTGTAACGATTGTTTGTTAGCCTTGGACGGCAAGCCTTGTGACCCGGTACCGAAGGGCGCAAGCATTGGGTCAGTACAGGCAACCGTGAAGGTCTAGTGTCGTAGTGCGTGGGGGCCCTTCTGCCGCAGGGACAATAGGGTTTAGTCAAATGCAGTTGATGAAGCAAACCCCCCCGATGGCAAAATTTCGCGCGCACTCCTTCTTGTTCCTGCATTTTCTGGCTTGTGTTTCCCAGACTCTCATTTGTTTTACTTGTTTGGGTTGCGTACCCTTTCAGGGTTGCTCCATTTGGAGACAAACCCAACTGGACTCATTTTCTGTTTGATTCGACTCTCATTCTGCAGGAGACCACGATTTGCTGCACTACCCAGTGCCCGCCGGATGCTCAAATTGCCTTTGGATTCAGGTGGTTGCTTGCATGCGCAGTACGGAACATGAGGGGGGGATGCCAAGAGGCAGTTGTAGTTTTTCGTTTTTTTTTTGGGGGGGGGTGAAAACTGGAATACTTGTTGAATCTAGAAAAAGCCCAGACCTCTAGTGGTACACGTCCTTTCTTTGACGGGGCCCGGTTTGCCAGTGTCGAGTACCAAAGTTTGTCCAGAGAAGCTTGGATCTCCCAAGTCGTAATGTATAAGCTGCTCACAGCAGGAAAACCGTTGCAACACGGAAACCTACATGAGTTTGTTTTTCCCATGAGCAGCAGGGTGATCTGCTTGCATGTTCCAGCGCTCATATTCATACATCCTGTTTGTTTTTTAGCTTTAGCTGGAATGTGGACCTGAGCACGACGGGAGCTTGCTTACCCTTGTCCAAGGCTTTCTTCAGTTTCAATATTTCGGCTGGAAGGCCATGATGGTGACAGCCTGCGGCTGCCTTCGTTGCTATTCTTCCATTCGATGTCGAACAACATCTCGGCTGGGACGTTTGGTCATCCGGAACTCTGCCACAAACCGTGCCTTTTCCTGCACTTGGGCGCGTGTCCGCGCTCATCTGCCTGCAACTTGGCTCATACAGCCTGTCACGTTGGGATTTTGGAGGATGCTAACCTGTACCCTTTGATTCGGCCGTTTGGAGAACTACTATGGCGCCTAGCACAACTCTATGGCTACCTTCCCCATTCTTTCCAGGGATCCTTCTTTTCAGGACACCATCAAAAACCCAGGGAAGCAGCTGGTTTTTGAAAAGAACAATGGTTTAAAATAATGGAAAAGGAATCACACCCTAGAACAACAGGCACTTCCGGCAAGGCAAAAAAGCCCCGCCGGTCCAAAAACGCCAGGTGACTACTGCCACGGACACCACGAGGGCCGACAGCGGCTGACCGCGCAGCACCGGAACGATCTGCTGGCGCTGGGGGAGGCAGACTTGATGGCGCTGGTGCTGCCCCATCTCCGGGCCAAGAAGATGCCGCTGCAAGAGGCGCAAGAGGCGGAAGCAAGCGCCAAAATGGGGCGGACTAGGTCTTTCTATGACTAGGCTCCCCCAGTGCCAACTTTAAGCCCTTTTTTGGTTGGGAGGGTTCCCCGACTAAAACGGACTACACAAAAAGGGTACCCTTTATTCTAACCCCTCTACCGGAAGACCTAGATGAGTCTTCCCCTTGGTCAGATGGTTTTGGCGGTGAATTGGTCAGGAGAATAGATGCCACGCAAGACAGGCAAGGCATTAAATCCTAAGGATTGGGTGAGCCTCTATTCACTACCTTACATTCCTTTCCCTTCATTTCCCTTCCGAATTAACTTTCAATCAATGGGATTATGATGAGAGGGAAAGAGAAAGTGTATGTCATCCCATTCTGCCCAGGTAAGAATTAATTGGTCTGTCTAGGATTTACGACCTGCCTTCAGCTGTCATGTCGTGTGTCCTTGCATATCTATATCTTGTTCCCCTTTATTTTCGTGCATTTTGATGGGGAAAAAGAAATGTCCCTTCGCTCTACCAGTTCGCTCGCCTAAGGGAAGAAGCGAGGCTCATCTCTTCACTTCCGCTCTCTCACTTTGTTCTTTTGGTGAGTCTCAGAGATGAAAGGGATGGCATGCCTTGTCTCCTTCCCGCCTCGTCTCCTCGCCGCTCACGGACAAGAATAGGATGGAGGCGACAGACAGGAATCTTCAATTGTCGCCGGGTAATAAAGAAGGAATGGAGCGGCAGTAAGAGATAGGACTGGCCGCAGCTTTAGGAAGGCTTATGAAGAGATACCACTGCCGCCTCCCTTCACTCGTCCATTCCCTGCGATCTAATCCTCGTTCGTTCGTTGTCCTCGTTCACTCACTCCCTGCCGTGCATTTTCGTTCTCCTCTAGTTCTCAAACTCTTCCTCGCCCACAGCCCCCCCCCCCTCATTTTTTGGGGTTCTTGCATTTTAAGCTCAGCCCAACCCCGGAGGACCCATTTTATTTGACAGCTGCCAATCGAAAGATGCCAATCGAGCCCATTGGCTAGGTTCACGGGGGTCGAAAGGTGCCTTCGGAAACGCGACGTTGAGTTAATGTAGCTGAAGTAGGAAGCATCCTTTCGGCGGTCAGATGTCAACCGGCAGGGCACCTGAGCGGGTTCGGTTGCTCAGACGGGTGGAAATGAGTCCACTTGTATTCCAATAGAGTTATGGCTGGCGCACGGCCAACCTGATGTTGGAAGAGGAAGAAGAGAGGCCGTGTTCCAATGGAAGGTCGGCTTTAGGCGGAGGTTGCCTTCAAATCCCAAAAGAGACCTTGTGAGGTTCTCGCCGGAGCAGCACTTGGCAAGCTTGCCAATGCCAGCCAGACCTCACCTGACGCAGAGGCAGATCATCAACTTGAATCGCCGCCTCGGCAATCTCAATTTTCGGCTGCTGCTTGGTTTGCTCCCTTGCTGGCAGCTCCAACCTATTCAAGAGGCCACCGCGGCGCTGCAGCTACAGATTGCGCTGCAAGAGCCTGCCATGTTCAATGGATACTTCTCCTTGTGATGTGCCCGAAGCAATCGGCCGTAACCAGTCCAATTGCTTGCTACCTTTCCTTGAAGCTTGCCCCATTGAGGGTTCGGCGCGAATGTCAGGCATCTTGAGGCACAGCCTGCTCCGGTGGGTTTTCTGCCATTGCAGGAATCCGGAACCGGCAAGGTGCGAAGCCGGGCAAGCCCAAGGCACCCGGTCTCTTTTTGAAACCTAACCGACTGTGGTTTGCTTTGCAACACCCATGAAGAGCATGCCGTCAGGAGGTGTGTGCGTGAAATATAGCAATTCGGCGTGCCTTCTTTCCCAGATGTCAACGGCCGTCCACCACTCCACTGGGGGCTTATGGCACCCATGGCGACAGTGTGGTTTGTGTGTTTTCGTGACATCTCAACATGTCCATCGCGCCAGTCTGCCTTCGGCTGTGTGGTTTTGGATTTTTTGGCTGATCCGTGTTGTTTTTATCTCAGTGACTTGTTTTTTTTCAAGGCAAGGCGCTGAAGAACTCGATGCACTCTTTGCTTCACATGCTTGAAGACAAAGGTTGCACGCCCTGGTCTGTTGGGTGGGAAGATGGGGTATGTCCAGAAAATCCCTTCGGCTTGTTGCCAATGTCGTGACTTGGCGCATCACTTTAAGTAGAGTCAGGACGAGCGTTAGTCCCTCTTTTACAAGTGGATGGGAAATCAAGGTTGTTTGGAAGATTGTTCCAGGGGTTGATTCCCTCCGTTTCCACAATCATTGTTTTCCACCACCGGACCAACCAGAGGCCCTTTCCACAAAGAAGGATCCCTGGGAATCATGGTGGCTTACGCATGTTGACGGTCCGTGGAGTATTGGTTCACCTTGAAAGGGGATAGCCCCATCCTGGCGGTTCAGGACCGTGGCTTTGAATACAAAGAGTGGCTGAGAAACACCCATCAAATTGAATTCATTGGATCGGCCCCTCTAGTCGGTGGCAGATCTTTCGCCCTGATACCAGCTACCCTTCCACCAACTAACATGGAAATGCACAAACCCCCTTTCCAAGACGAAAGTAGTCTTTCAGTCTTCCTACAATTAATCTGTGCACGTTGGTGGTAGGGTACCACGCGTGAGACTTATCTCTTCCTTTTCCTCTTCGATTAAGCGTTTGCCCGAGCTCAAAAAAAAACCTAAGGGCACCCGGTGCCCGTTCTACCCCATGCAATCAACGGCCAACGGCCGAGGCTGAGTTTTTTTAATATTATTATTATTATTATCTGTGAACCGCTTGGTATCTCTACTTGATTGCTTCACAAGTAGAATCAATGTTTGCTTAAGTCTGATGGAAGCCATAGGGTCATAAATGTGTGGACCCTGTGTGTATATATTTATACATAATATATAAATATATATATATATATATATATATTATATTGGTCACCCCCCGAAAGAGAATATTGATTGTTTGTTTATTCAAGGAAGTTAAGGTATATATATATATATGTATATATTTGGTCACTACGGCACCCGGCTGTTTAGTCGCACCATGTTTGCCTTTGTGTTTAGCGGGGTTCCCCACTAGAACTAACTGATCAAGCCAGACAAGGGGTTCCCTCTACTGGGTTGCAACTGGGACTTCTTGTTCTTTGGAGATATTGCTGATGACTTTCTTCAGAGGATTTCTCTTCGGTACTTGGACTCACCCATCGCATCGACGGCGTGTTGTTTGTGTGTGTGTGTGTCGTCAATTGTTTTTTCCGGTTGCAACTGGGAGGTTGCTGCTTTTACACTAAAGCGCAACCTGTTCCACACGAGGTGTGCCAAGCACTTTAAGATGAGCTGTGTCCTTGATCTTCCAGGGCCCTGGAAAAACAGGCCTTTGGCCGAATCTCCACTTGGAGCCAAGATCAAAATCAAGAAGGGCCCCTGGTTTTGTGGGTCCTTGGGAGCTTCCAAGGTATTTCTTTGCCGCTTGGCAACTGTCCCAAATTGAGATTGTGCTTCAAGTTCCCCCCGGCTCGAATTCGGGCCCTGCCTTCCGACCGACCGTCTTATGTAAGCCCGAGGTGGGAGGCCCCACAAATTTACGGCCCGCAAAGGAACCACCCGCGAATCTACCGTGTTTTCCCCATTTGGTTGAGTATCTTTGTTTACTTGCAATATTGAGTTGGCATCCACCATGCTTGCCAGAACCAGGGTTTTATGTGAGTTCCGTCCATCCCTTCCCCCCCCTCCTTTCTGCATGCTTTTAACATAGCTTCCATTTGCCTGAGAATTTGTGTTATTTTCGTTGGCTTCTAAAGGAGATCATCACTACTGGACATATGTTGTTGTGTTTTCCAGGGGTCCAAACCAAATGGAAGATAGGGAGCATGGCCTGGTTGCTTCTCCCGCCGGCAAGCCGAAGCAACTCGACCTCAGGTCCTCACGCTGAACGTGGAGCTGGACGGCGGCCTCGCGCGCCCTGGGAAGATCTCCACCTGGTGGCGCCAGTTCCTCACGCTGCGCCACGGCTTCCTGAGCGCAGTTTGCCAAGGGATGTTATAGCCACTTGAAACCTTTTCGCCAACGAATGAAGCGGTTTTGCATTAAACCACGAAATCCATTCGCACCACGAAATGAATCCCATGGGTTGAAACCATGACGTTTGTTGGTATCTAACTGGGGAATCGAATCATTCCGTTGGGTTTCTTAGATGGTGCGAAATGGATTTCGCAACCACAGTATGGCCGAGATCGAGTTGCTTCCCTGCTGTTCGGAGTTTCTGGTGGCTTTTTGGGGCGTCTCCTCAATTATTTTGGTTTAAACGAAATGCGATGCATGGTTTAATTAACTGGGAAGCGGACAATCTCAGCCCCAAGCAGATCCCGTTATTTTCTCCCTTTTTGTGTGGCTTCCCTGTGAAACCTTTTGCTAGAGCGAATTCCGAGCAGAGGCTCAGTTGTTCAGTGGCACTAATTCCCCTTGGTTCCCTTTCAAAAGGATGACCCTTTGTGTACAAGGGTCGCTCAGAGGAAACTTGTAGAACCCACACGGTCGCATCCCAAAAGTACATGTTTTTGTTTTTCTGAAAGGTTGGATCTCTCCAAAGGTGTTGAGCTAGGGTTCAAACTGCAGGGAGGACTGCCACACATCGCTTCAACATATATACACCTATTGAGGCATAGTAACTATGAAGCAGGGTTCCAACATATATTTTTGGAGTGCCAAGTGACGGAAGCGTTTGAAAGAGCCAACCTGTCCGCTAGATCCCCACCTCTGCCTGGACAAGCGGTGTGTGGGGAAGGGAAAAAAAGGTCCGGTGGCGAAAAGAGTTCCCTTGTTCGGGGGTTTATTCCAGTTACTGTTTTGAGGGATTCTCAAGAATGCGTTTGGAGTTGTTTCTTTAAACCCAATTGACTCCAAGCATTGATTTTGAAGATGTCACTTTGGACCCAGTTGTTCCCTCACATGTGAGTCATAGCCCTTTGTGTTTCTTGCTTTTGCTTGTTCTTTGTTTAAACGGGGTGGTCAGTTTCCCTCTTATTTGTTGGGGTTGCTTAAAAACAGACCCCTGTTTCCTTCTTTGTGCAGAGTTTGGGGGGTTGAATTAACATGTGTCCGTGTTGTGTTTTTTTTTCCTGGTAGGCTGGGCCCATGATGCCCTCACAGTGGGGGGTTGGGTTTCCAGGGCTCGTTGGCTACGGTTGCTGCCAGGAAAGGCTCCTTGTTCCCTCGTTTTGTGTTAAAACCCTCTAGGCCCCGTGCCGAAATTGGGTAGCTGTTCTGAGGTCCTTGTTGGTGTTGCTTCCCAAGTTCCATTGATCGCCATTTGGCTCAAGACACAATTGAGGTTCAAGATCTGATGTGTGACTGCAGACCTACGTGATCGGCATTAAGAGCAAAACAACTGCTTGCGCCGCATTGTCAGGACTACTGTTGTAACTATCATTCCTTCTCCCTTACAACGTTTACACGGGTTCGGCTATAACGGCATCGTCCGTATACACCTTTCTACGTGGTTGGTATTAAAGCTTGAGGGTTCGGTGCATAGCGTCCCACGGGACGTCACCTTGCCGTCTCTTGACAGGTTATCAGCCGTAACTACAAGCTCTACACTGGACTGGGAGACAGCTGGTTTATTGCGGGTACAGGGACAATAAAGGAACGATAACCTACACAGTACAATGGCGTCTTCGGCGAGCCCAAGTACTGCAACTTTTGGGAACAGCAGCTCAGAGGGATCCAATGGATTGATGGCTCTTCCTGCGGTGATGGATATGATTGCAGATTCACAGGATGAACCTGGGAGCGGAGGTTCCGCGCTATTCAGCGACATATCTACTCCCACAAGATCATGGAAGCAGATCGATGTTCATCAGGAGTCGAAGAAAAGAGAATCCCCACCGAGAAGATCATCATCTTCGCCTGCGACACCACGGACGTCGCAGAAGGGCGTGAGATCGACATCGAAGGGTGGGAGGTCAAAATCACCCACCAGTGCAGATTTTCGCGCCGTGATCAAAGAGAAGAATAAGATGGAGGTGGAGATCGGGGAATATCAGAAGACACTTGATGAAATGTCGGCAGCAATGGCGAATCTTAACCAAGAAGACTATGGAAGCACCATCCGGATCCAGGAGCTGGAAAGACGATGCGAGATTGCCAGCAAGCAGTCGGGACATCTAGTGAGTCACCACCAACACCACATGGCTGAGGCATGGCGCAAGTTTGAGGAAGAAGCCCAACAGATGCGCAAGGTGGAAATGAACGCATTTCAGTACGGGGAGAAGAAAGACATGGAGTCGAATATTATGATGCAACAGATGAGGCAAGCTGAAGGAACTATCATGGAGCAGAAGCGGGAGATTGCATTGATGAGATCCTACATGGCAAGCGAGAAGTCGGCCGCGCAGGAATCAGCTATACGTGCAAATCAGATACACCGTGAGGCTTCACAACAGATATCAGCCTTATCAGCAACAGATCAGAGGCATAGAATCTTCTACATCTATCGAGAAGTTCAACGAGGAGGAGATGGTCCAAAGTCTGAAATCACAGTTGGAGCATGCACTCGTCAAGCGCCCCGAGACGTACTCTTTGGAGGACTCCAGGGAACAGCTGATGGCGAGGCTGAATGACGTTACAGTATTTGCGGAACAGGAATCGAAGAGAGCAGATTGCTTGCTTCGCGAAAAAGAAGAGATCGTCAAACAGTATGAGTCCGACGTGTCGATGAAGGACCAGATGATTGCTGTCGAAGGTGGTCATCGTCAGGATGCGATCTTGGAGTTAGCCCAGGTCAAAGAAGAGAAACAAGAGGAACGGTGCACGATGGACGAGAAGTCGAAGGAGGCTGAGTACTGGAGATTGACAGCTAAGGGAATGTACGATGAGTACCTCGAGGAGATGCATGAGCTTCAGGGACAACTGAAGGAAAGAGAGGCGACGCTCAAGCAAGAAGAGAGTTTTGTACGCCAACTCGATGCTGACAACGAGGAACTACGTGCACACAAGAAGCTGGAGACACAGGAAGCCTCCAGCAGCAAAGATGGACATCGTGAACGAGCAGTAGTGAAACGCGCTGAGGGAGGAACCCAGGCTAATTCAAATAGGATAGACAAGAAGGTGGCTGGGTCAGTCCCGTCATCGTCTTCAAATCAAATCCCTAATTCGTCGCTGATGCCAGGTTCGATCCTCTTTCCGTCTTTCGGTGATCCAATGATCGATGTACACCTATCCCAGATGCAAGGGGTTGTTGGGCATGTCCCACAATCCACTACTACGACTGGTGGTGGTGATGGGGGGGAAACAACGGTACTACGCCCCCATTGGATTACGGTGGATTCCCGCCCAATGGGAATGGGCAGGGAGCGGGTCGACGTCAGTTGAGCCTCGCTGGTGGCGGAGGAGGACCTCCGGATGATCCACCCGATGATGAGGATGAGGATGACGACGACGAAGGAGATGAGGAAGACGAGGAAGAAGAAGAGGAAGAAGACGATCGGACACGGAGGAGACGAAGGAGATCGAGAGATAACCGAGAGATCAAGAATGATCGACCGAGAATCTCGAGGAAAGAGGCCGAGAGAGTATCTATTCCGGCCTGGCCAAAGATCCATCAACTTGACACCTGGAAGATGCAACTGCTGATGAATGTTCTGAGCGCATGTGCAGATCCAGATACCGACGCATGGACGAAATGGCTGGAGCAGGCTCTTGGGTTGAACCCAGACCTGGATTTGCTTAGCGATTCAGGTGGCGACAGATTTGCTACGATAGATATTAAGATGGCCATGGGCATGCAGAACATGCTGAAACAAGCACCTGACGAAGCCAAGGACGTATACCTCGATGCTACACGACACTCTGAACTACGACATCAACAAGGGGTGATCGTGAAGGGACGAGAGTTGGTGGCATTAGTTATGCAATCATTCAGAACTTCCGATAGAACGGATCTTGTCTACCACATCGAGCATCTATTCAACCTTGACTTTCCTGGCGACAAGAACTTGGTCATGTTCAGGAACAAATGGTATGATTTGCTGCTGAAGATGAGGAGCGAGGACAGACCCAGTAAGCTGGCTCTCAGAGACATCCTTTACAGGAAGATCAAAGGGAGCAAGAAGATGGAGTTCGGCCTCAATGCCTACCATAGACTACCGGACAAGCATCCTCAGAAGACGTATGAATTCTTATTGGCGTTGATCGACTATCAGATCAAGGCAGATCGGGAAGACCTGATGCTCGACATGAAGGAGAAATCGGTCAAGTCGATGATGAAGTCAGGCGGGAAGGATGCGGCTCCAGCAACTGGCAAACAGGAGAACCAGGGTGGCAAGGGCAGAAAGGGGAAACCCGGTGGACCTGATGCCGCTCCTGTGCTCCCAAAAGCCAAGGCAAAGGGCCACGCTGGCAAGAACGGCAAGTCCGACGGTGCCAGCGACAGAGGCAAGAGTCCGGGCGGAAGCAAGGATAACCCCTGCTGGTACCACTTCAAATCGGCGAAGGGGTGCGTGAAAGGGAATGAATGCACTTTTTCCCACAGCAAGAAGACGGAGCATAAGTTGGAGAGCATGTCCAAGGGGAAAGGAAAGGGCAAATCCAAGTCCAGATCATCGTCACCAAAGAGGGATGATGGAGCATGCTTCGCGTTTCAGAAGGGGAAGTGCGATAGGGGAAGCGCTTGCAAGTACAGGCATGAGCTCATCAAGAACAATTCAGCTCCAGCAACGTCAAATGACAAGGCGCAAGCCAAGTCGAAGGCTGCCGCCAAAGCCGCAGCGCCTGCCATTGCGAGGAGGGCCATCGCAATGCCCGCGATAGTCCTGAAGCAATCGGCTCCTGCAGGGAAGGTAAGCTTCAAGAAGGACGTTGATCATGTCGAACCGGACGAAGCCGAGACTGTCTACCACGAGCACGATGACGACGCGATGAGCGAATCATCGAGATGGTCTGGCGAGTCCGAGATCCCCGAGAAAATGGTGTGGTTCAAGGAAGTGCTCGACGTCGACGAGAATGG